AGTTGGTTCTACTGCAATTTGTCTTTAATAAAGAGAGAAATTGGAGAGAGAGAAAAATAATCCAAAGGAAAAAAAAAAGGCTGTGGCCCACCTGTATTAGATCCCAGCCTTCTCTGTGCTGTCAACTCATAAAATGAGTCCTTGAACTATTAAATGGGACTAAGAGACTGGCCAGAGTGTGGTATGAATGTGCGTCTCGAAAGGGAGACCTGGGGTAAAAATGGGTAACAAACAAGGGAAGCCCACCCCATTGCATAAGTTCAATAAGAACTTAGCCCAACAGCTACTATGTTGAAGCACTTTAAGAAAGAATTTGTAGATAACTATGACACTAAGAAAACTAAGGAGTCTTTATGAGTAGGAATGGCCCCTCTTTGGAAATAGATGGCTGTCAGAGAGAAATTTAAAGAGATCCCTAGTGTCTGAGGCATGGCACAGAGTTACTGGAAGGGGGGATCACATTGAGCAGTTTCCGTACATAGATACCTGGCTACAGCTAGTAGTAAACCCACCACCTTAGTTGAGAGGGCAGGTCGTGACAGTGCTAGTAACACAGGGACAGAAAAGGAAAGTGCTTTCCACCCTACCTAAAGTAGTGGTGCTGAAGATATTGGCAGATTTGGTATCAAAAGACATTATTGCAGAGACTGAGAAAGGGACACAGAAAACTACCAATCTGGCCCGAGTAAATGAGGTTCTCCAAGGAAAGACAGAGTCCAGGCCAGTTCTATGAGAGGTTATGTAAAGCGTTTCGAATGTACACTCCCTTTGACCCTAAGAGCCCTGAGAATCAGAGGATGGTTAATATGGCCCTAGTTAGCCAAAGCGCTAAAGATATATGGCAAAAACTGCAGAAAAAGGAGAGGTTTGCAGGTATGAACACCTCGCAACTCCTCAAAATAGCACAAAGGTCTTTATGAATCGGGAAGCAGTAAGCCGTAGAGAAGAGGACAGGCGCATGAAGCTAAGGGCCAATCTCACCGCGGCTCTGAAAGGCATGAGGGGAGGACCCCCTCCCTTTCAAAGAGGACAGAATCAAGGAGTACAAGGAAATAGGGGACCTAAGGTAAAAGGCCCCCCCTTGCGAAGGGATCAATGTACAACTGGCCAAGAGACAGGGCATTGGAAGAATGAGTGTCCCCAGAGGCAAGAAAGTATAGAAAATCCTAGAAAAGAGGTCACAGAACCGGAAGAGCAGGGAGCCCCCTATAACTTAGTGGGAGAGGCCCTGCTAGACTGAAGGGGACCAGACTCAGCCACCTCCAGAAAGTCCATGGTCCGAGTAAGGATTGGGGGCAAGGACATTGACTTTCTAATTAATACTGAGGGTGAACACTTGGTAGTCACCCAGCCAGTAGCCCCTCTCTCAGACCACAGGATTGACATAGGAGCAACGGAGCCACTGCTGAACAAGCCTTTGTCTCCTTTGGAAATGTTCCATAAGAGGCCATGAGGAAATATAACTACAACTGCCCAAACCAGATCTGATGTCCGCCTTGGGAGTAGAGGCTGTTTGTGACTCAGCCAGGAGGACTGAGGCCCAAACTGGCCCAGTGGTGGCTGCGGGTCTGAGCGAAAGATAACTTCCCAGGGCTGTGCTCAAGGTAAAGACTGCCTATTGCGACATCTAGGGGTATATGGCTACAAAGTTTCTAAGCAAAAGACTCAGATCTGCCAGCGGCAAGTACCTTATCTAGGATTTATTATCCAGCAGGGAGGGAGGAATCTAGGCATGGAGAAGCAGCAAGTCATTAGTCACCTCCCCACCTCCACAAGCCAAAGGCAAGTTTGGGAATTCCTAGGCGCAGTTGATTTCTGTCATCTTTGGATCCCCAACTTTGCCATCTTGGCTAGACCTCTGTATGAGGCAACTAAAGGAGAGAAAGAAACGCCCTTAGAGTAGGGAAGAGAACAGAAACGTGCACTCTCCCAACTAAAGATGGGGCTAATGACTGCCCTTGCACTGGAATTGCCAGGTCTAACCAAGCCCTTCACTCTGTATGTCTCAGAGAGATAAAATGGCTGCAGATATATTAACCCAGCTGGTTGGGTCCTGGCCAAAGCCTGTAGCCTACCTCTCTAAGTAGTTAAATGGAATGGCAAAAGGATGGCCACCCTGCTTATGGGCTCTAGCCACTACTGCTCTCCTTGTGCAAGAAGCTGATAAGCTGACTCTAGGGCAGGACCTCAGAGTAAAAGTACCCCACTCTATGGTCACTTTAGTGGACACTAAAAGACATTTTTTGACCCAGCCACACTCCTTCCAGCCAATGGAAGAGAGACTGAGCATAACTGTGTAGAATTCATAAATAATATGTACCCTAGCAGACATGACTTGTGTGACCAGCCATGACTTGTGTGACCAGCCTTGGACAGATGCAGACTGGGATTTGTATGTTAATGAAAGCAGTTATGTGACGGCCCAAGCCCTGGAAAAAGCCATTAGTCAGTGATGTGTCATCTGCAGCTAGTTCAACACCCGCCAAGGACCAACGGTACCCCCAGGAATCCAGTCATATGGAGCAATGCCCTTCGAGGACTTTCAGGTAGACTTCACTGAAATGCCCAGATGTAGAGAAAATAAGTACTTGCTGGTGATGATGTGCACCTACTCCGGATGGGTAGAAGCATATCCTACCCGCACCAAGAAGGTGCAAGAAGTCACCTGGGTACTCTTGAGAGACATTATACCACAGTTTGGGCTCCCACTGAGGATTGGGTCAGACAAGGGACAAGCATTCACCTCCCAACTGATCCAGAAGATGGCTAACATCCTTGGCAGCACCTGGAAACTCCACGCAACCTACCGCCCACAAGGCTCAGGAAAGATGGAATGCACGTATAGAGCTATTAAGGCAAGTTTAAGGAAAATATGCCAGGAGACAAACTTACAATGAATAAATGCCCTGCCCTTGATATTATTTAAAATTAGATGTACTCCTACTAAGAGAACAGAATTCTCACTGTATAAGATCTTATATCATAGGCCACCACCTGGAGCTTGCCAAAATCCCCCTGGAAATTAGGAAAAATATTATTAAAAAAGCAATTGCAAGCACTGGAAAAGGTGGTAAGGACAATTTCAGAAATAAGTGAATGAAAAATGTCCTGTTAGTTTGTTTTCCCTTGTCTACCCTTTCTCTCCAGAAGCTGTGATGTGGGTCAAAGATTGGAACATGTCACCCCTGAAGACGAGGTAGAAAGTCCCTTACAACGTTATCCTGACCACACCTACAGCTGTGAAAATAGAAATTCCTGCCCGGATCCATTACAGCAGGGTGAAGCCTGCCGTGGAACCAGAGGAGAAACAGCCCCTGTCTAAGAGGAGCCGGACCCAGCAGGACGTGAACAATGATAGCTGATCCTGAGTTCCCATGGCATGGGCTCCACACTGCAAGGACTCCTGAATTAGCAAAAGTATTGCCCAGAGAAATCGTAGCATGGGTTAGGTTGCCACTCTGGTTTAAATTTAACAATAGGCTAGCCTTCTTAACAGAAGTAGTGCAAATAATAAACTAAAGCTTTGAATAACTTGTAGGCCTCAAAGCTTAGACAGGATAAAGTACATATTCAGGACCATAAGAGCAAAAATTAGTAAACTCTGCCAGAAAGCAAAGCTTACTTAGATACAGGCCTTGCCACTGGTATTGTTCAAAGAGGCCTCTGTCAATTCTCTGCAATTTAGCAGGAACTCCTAAAAGAACTGAAAAAGACTGAACTAAAAAGAGAAAAACCCTAGAAAAAGTAGCAAGGAATGTCTCCACTGAGGTAATTAACTGTGTTCTGTTTAGTCTTTTGTGTCTGTACATCCTTTCTCTCTAGAGAATCAAGGGGACCAAGTCTAGGTCTAGAACTGGTCCCCCTGAAACCAAGGTAGAAAGGACTTTACACAATCATCCTGACCACATGCACAGCAGTGAAGGTAGAAGGAATCCTCACCTGGAGTCATCACAGTTGGCTAAATAGGACTTCACTGCCCCTTGAAAAGTAAAAATAACTTTTAAGACAATCAACATGCCCTGCTGGGAGCTGGCTGGTCAATGCACAGCTGAAGCCTGAGGAAACTCCTCGAAAAACTTGTCTTAATTAGACTTTGAACTTTGGGAAAAGAGAGGAAAAATATCACAGAAAAAAGTAAAACTTATATATATATATGTTAGCCCACTACCACGATACTATTAAGGCCTAAGTAAAAACCCCAAGAAAAATCACAGTCCCTAAAACCTTAATGCTAAAAAGTAATTAATACTGGCACCTGCAGAAACAAGCTGATATTGAGAGCCCAAATTAAAAATAGAGTCTCAAAAGGGGGGAATGAGAGAAGATATCAGAGAGGGGCGAGGTCTGGGAGAACAGGTTTTCTCAGGGAGACCACAAGGATACACCTGCAGGGCCCTCTCCATGGTGACTCAGCTCTTGGGAATTTATAAGCTTAAGCTCTTAAAACCTGGAAATTTCCAAGTTTTGTGAAATCCTATAGTTCTTCAGAGGCTGGACTAGCATCTCCCGCTTGATTCAAAATGGCCAATGGGAAGGGTACCTGTGGGGTGGAACTTGTTGACTGTCAATAAAAAGGAAAAGACCAAGCCAGTCAGGGAGCAGGGCCATTTGGAGATCTTCTGTGCCATAAGCTCCTGGCCTACAAATAAAGCCCTTCCTCTTATAACTATGGTGTAGGCGCCGCAGGTACAGGAGTTCATTTCCTTCCCAAAGCTTATTTGTGGAGATTGCAATGTTTTTAAAAAATGCCTTCCTATACTAAAACACATCACAGGATCTGATAAATATGTGCTCAATGTTTACATTAACGCATGTGGGGGCTCTGGCTTCCTTATTTTCAATGAAGTCAAGGGTAACATTTTCTAACCGGGGGGAAACCCAGCCGCGTCACGTCGGGAAACGCGCCTCCAGCGGACCAGGCCAGAGGGCCAGGCAAGGCAACCCTACACCTGGGAGGCTTTCTGCGCATGCGCGTCTCCTCGCGTCCGCTGGGCTGGGATACAGGACCTGTGACATTACCCGCCAAGCTTTGTGACGCAGTTGCCTACCAGGTCAGGAAGCTGTTACCCCGGCCCGGCCCACCCTTTTCCGCTACCGCCGTGGGAATGGAAACATCTGCCCCACGTGCCGGAAGCCTGCTGGCGGCGACAACGGCACGCCACTCCACGTCCTACTACATAGATCCTTTGCGAGTATCCTCGCGAGACGAACTCACCGAAATGGCCGTGTCTGGTCAAGGTAAGGGCGGGCGAGCAGGCGGCGGGCGCAGCTAGGAGCCGCCTTCCTGGGCCTCCGGAAGGGGAAGGGCTCTGCGCCTGCCAGTCCCAGCTGAGTTCCCCCGGGAGTCCGAGCAGCGCTTGGGCTGTAAGAGAACCCAGGGCTCGCCTCAGGCCCGGCCGCTCCCAAGGTCACGCATCGGGCTGGGCTGAACCGCTTCGGGGTGTCCACTCCATGGTGTCTCTCCCAGCCTTCCCGCGACTCTTAATTGCTAAAGCGGGAGACATTGCGTCCCTTTTCTCAGGAGCGATTTGGCTCCTTGAGACTAGCTTCTTTGTCCCTTTGGACGTCCGTGGGGATAGTAACTATCTTTTCTTTATTCGGCATATTCAAAGGAAGATTCCTTATAATTCTCAGTGAACTACATCTTTAAATTATGCTTCTTACTCTATTTTGAGTGCTTAAGCTGTGTTTGAGTACTGGCTCACAGGATCCCATTGTTAAACAGAGCCATCGTTGAAAATTAAATTATATACACTTAAATCATATTTAAAACAGGTTGGAAAATACTCAGAACTCTTCACTTTTTAAATATTTGCTGTTATTTTATTGTTACCAATACTAGAGAGGTTATTCCTATCATATCTCTGAAGGAGATACCATGGTATGGTGGTTTCAGTGATGTCACATTCACTCATATACTCCTGGTGAACGAATAAGCAATGAAAGACAGTTTGTACATACTACAGGTCAGTATTTTCCTAAATGCAGTTCAAACCTTTTTTTTTTTTTTTTTTGAGAGTCTCACTGTCGCCCTCAGTAGATGGCATGGCATCACAGCTCACAGCAACCTCCAACTCCTGGGCTCCCGCGATTCTCTTGCCTCAGCCTCCCAAATAGCTGGGACTACAGGCGCCTGCCACAAGACCCGTCTATTTTTTTGTTGCAATTTGGCCGAGGCGGGGTTTGAACCCGCCACCCTCAGTATATGGGGCCAGCGCCCTACCCAATGAGCCACAGGTGCCGCCCCTCCACTTTAAACTTTTACCAGCAAACCACTGAATTTAGATGATTCTAGAGTCTAAGGAGCTGGAATGTGACTTATTTTTCAGCAGAGAGGACTGCTCTCATTCATTTAAAATGTATATAGTTTTCTCAGGTACTTGCACCTAGGTCATTGCAAAAAATTTGGAGGTTAACATTAATTTCAATCCTTATTATACTGATAATCGCATAATACTGTGATCATTGATTTTCTAGGCCCATAACAGTGGCTACTGACCTACTTTTGTCTATCATAGTGCTTAGCACTGTTTGATGAATCACTGAAGTTTGGTGAACCAAATGTCTCTGATTTATTCTCCCTTTGCACTGGAGCTCCCTATTGGCTTGGTCAGATTACATTAACGAAACTGAGAACTAATTCTTGTATTCACTGATATTCTTTAACCCAGGAGCAGAGTTTCTTCAGTAAAGGTAAAGTTCTGTTGTTACATTAGTGTTGGGTCCGAAAAAGCCTCCCAAATTAACCCCAACCAACAAATTCGAGACTCGCTCGGATGTAAAGGGCATAAGGTGAAATTTATTACAGACCCGGGAGGCCCCGGGGGCCCGGGGGCCCCAGGCCTGGACTCTCCTGGCATGCAAGCCGAGGACGAGCCCCGAACTTGGGGTGAAGGCAGTTTTTATGGGGTACAGAAAGCAAGAGGGGTAGGGTCGGATACGAGTACACTCCTGATTGGTGGTTGATGATTTCACTAGTAAAGGAGGATTTGGATTGGTACAGGTGAAGGGTAGGGGATTTCTTAACCGGGGCTAGAGGTGGTGTAGCCTAATTAGGAAGGAGAATACCTGAATTTCTTTTCTTTTTAATTTTAATTTTAATTTTTTATTTTTTTTTTATTGAATGGTAACTGTGTACATTGATGCACTTTGGAGGTACAGTGTGGTGTTTTCATACACAATCCAAGACACTTCCATCAAACTGGTTAACATAGCCTTCATGTAACTTTCTTAGTTATTATGTCAAAACATTCATATTCTACTCATAGAAAGATTCACTCGTACCCTTGCAAGATGAACCACAAAAGTGAACCCTCGAATCCCTCTCCCTCCACCCTCTCCCCCCTCCCTCCCAGAATACCTGAATTTCAAGGAAGTAGATACCTATTGCCTATTATGGGAGTTGTTCAAGGGAACTGATACTTATTGCCTATTATGGCAGCTGTCTGTCTTAGGTGACTCAATTCAACGGCTTAATGGCTGTGCAACCAGGGGTGGGGGAGGCAGCAGGGAGTGGCCCTGCGGTTTAACAGAGCAGACAAGAAAATGGCGCTGGTCTGGCCCTTACATTAGCAAAAAAAATAAAAATAAACTGCTTGTGAGGCCATAGAGGACCCAGTTCCTCAAATATCCACATTTCAGTTCTACTATGTTGGGGACCAGCCACTCACCAGGATCGTGGGGGCACCTGCTAAAGTGGAATTGACTGAATGGGGAAAATGAATACAGGAGACACACAAAAATATGTTTAAAGTGGGTCCAGGGGTTCCCATTAACTGTGGTGAGGATACAATGGGGGCCCTGTACTTCGACAACTCAGGATTTATTGAGCTCTCATAATGCTAATTTCAGGTGAGAGGGTCTATATGAGCTAATGGAGAGCTGAGCAAAGGTCAGTGTGTGGGCTATTTTTGTTTTGCATTAGCAATTGTACGAATTTGCCTCTTCCTTAAATGATAGTTGACTATACTTGGCCAGTGCATTCCTGAGAAACAAGGAACATAACCTTAAGGCAAACAGAATGTGCCCAAATCTGCTTGGTTGGCCTCGCTGTTCCGGGCTCCCAAGGGGCTGGTAGACCCTTTGTTTCCCTGTGGGGAAAACAGGCTGATGCCAGTGCCCACGTTGGAAGCTGGGACAGAAAGAAGTCCTTATCTCTGCCCCAGAGGTCCTCCCTCTGTTTGTGTGGGTTTTGATTGCGCATACTGTTCCCAGTGACTTTTACAATACCCACCTTCCAGGATTTCTGCGTTCCAGCCCCCTTCAGTGGTGGAGCCTAATCCTTTCATGGGGGGAGGGGAAGCTGCTCCTCCCAGCTTGATCTTGCTGCACTTACCTTGCCTTGCTGCACTTGCACATGGCTATTTGCATTATAATGTGCCAGGGTCATTTAATCTTTTTTTTTTTTTTTTTTTGAGAAGGAGCCTCAAGCTGTTGCCCTGGGTAGAGTGCCCTGGCATCACAAGCTCACAGCAACCTCCAACTCCTGGGCTTAAGCGATTCTGTTGCCTCGGCCTCCCAAGTAGCTGGGACTACAGGCGCCCACCACAATGCCCAGTATTTTTCGGTTGTCATTGTCGTTGTTTGGCAGGCCCGGGCTGGATTTGAACCCTCCAGCTCCTGTGTAGGTGGCTGGCACCTTAGCCGCTTGAGCTACAGGCGCCAAGCCAGGCCATTTAACCTTTAAGCTGGCAAGTTGCACTGCTGTTTGCTTCCTCAAGCCTGTTTTATGCAAGAACTGCACAGACTTGTTATTAGTCAGCAAAGCTACTTTTATTAAAAACCAATTGAAGTGCTAAAGCTAAGCTGCTGTTTTGTTGCTCAGTTAAACTCCTAAGTTCTATTTGCTCTTTGACGTTTTTTCCTCTTGGGCTCAGGGTCTCCAAACTCTTAATTTCCCCACATTACTACATATAGATTTAAGATCTATCTAAAATTAATGATAACATAACGTAATGATAACATAATTTAATTATGTTTTGTGTATGCTGTAAACGTTGACAGTTTTTTTTTTTAAATACAAGTATGTAGTAATTACAACACCATTTGTTGAAAAGACAGACTTTCTTTTCCCTTATTCAATTACGTTGATGTCATGTTTTTAAAAATCAAATTATATGTTTGCCTCTGTTCTTGGCTTCAGTATTCTTTTCCATTGTTATATTTGTGTATCCTTAGGTCAATTCAATACTTTGTTGAATAACATAGCTTTTATAAATCTTGAAGTATATAAAAGTCTTTAAATTCCTCCCCCACACACACAATTATTGTTGCCACCCTTGGCAGTTTTTTTTTTTTTTTTTCCTGAATGATTGCTACAATAACTCCAATTCCACATGCTTTTTTTTTTTTTAAAGACAGTCTCACTTAGTTGCTCTCAGAGTGCCATGGCATCACAGCTCACAGCAATCTCACACTCTTTCGCTCCAGCAATTCTGTTGCCTCGGCCTCCCCAATAGCTGGGACTACAAGTGCCGGTCATAACTCCTGGCTATTTTTAGAGATGGGGTCTCGCTCTTGCTCTTGATCTTGCTGAAGCTGGTCTCAAACTCATGAGCTCAGGCAGTCCATCTTCTTGGCCTCCCAAAGTACTAGGATTACAGGCATGAGCCACTGTGCCCTGCCCAAGTTCTTTTTTCAGTGTGACTTTTAAGTTCTTCCCACCAAGAGCTGGAGTCTTTTTTTTTTTTTAAGACAGAGTCTTACTTAGTCACCCTCAGAGTGCCATGGCACCATGGCTCACAGAAACCTCAAACTCCTGGGCCCAAGTGATTCTCTTGCCTCAGAGAAGGCAGAGTAGTTGGGACAACAGGCACCTGCCACAATGCCTGGCTATTTTTTTTTTTTTTTTTTTTTTGCTTAAGTCATCATTGCTGTTTGGCAGGCCTAGGCCAAATTCGAACCTGCCGGTCCCAGTGTATGTGGCCAGAGCCCTAACTGCTGAGCCAAGAGCTGGGGTCTTTATTCCTCTTCCTGATCGGTGTGATCTGTGACTGCTCCAGAGTTCAGTAGAAGTAACACTACATTTCCTCTCTCCCATTCTTGGGACAGTCACCTCAGGAACTCAGTTACCATGCTGTAAGGAAGCTTAGTCTAATCCACATTGAGAGACAATTCTTATGTCTTCAGATGATTCCAGATCCCATCCTTAAGTCTTTCAGTTAAAGCCTCAGACATCATGGAACAGAGATTAAGTCTTAATGATGTGACCAAATACCTGATCACAAAATCTGAAAGCGCAATATTAATTAAACATGAAGTTTTGGAATAATTTGTTCTATAGCCACAGTAACTGGAACACTACTCTAGATTCTTTGCACTTTCGCATAAATTTTAGAACCAGTTTGTCGATTACATAAAAATTTACTTTTTGCTTGGAATTGTATTGAATATATCATTTTGGAGAGAATTAACACTTAAAATATTGAGTCTTGAAAACAAACACAGTATATGTCCATTAATTTAGGTCATCTTTACTTTGTTTCTCTCAATAGTATTTCATAGTCTACAGTGTTGAGGACTTTGCATCTTTTATTAAATTTATTCCAGTGTAATTTTTTGCAATTAAAATTGTTTTTCCATTCATCATTTCTAATACATAGAAATTTAGCTTTTATATTGGTATTGTATCCTATGACCTTGCTAATTCAGTTATTTTAGTAGCTTTTGGTAGATGTCTTTAGGTTTTCCATACACAGTCATGTTATCTACCAATAAAAGTAGTTTCATTACTGTACCCACTTCTAATCTCTGCCTTTTATTTCTTTGTTGCACTGGCTAGGACCTCCAGTAAGTGTTGAATAGATTTTATGGGAAAGCATGCCATATTTCACTGTTAAGTATAATATTAGCTGTACATTTTTTCATTGGTGTCCTATCTCACACTGACAAAGTTCCTGTCTATTCCTGTTTTCATATTTTCATTCTGATTTTTTTCTTGAACATAAAAGATTTAGAAGTGTATTGTTTAATTTCTTGTATCTTAAACCTCACAAGATAATTATTTTGTTCAGTAAAGGTTTATCTATCTACCCGTTTACCTTATTCCAACGCCCATGAACTCTTTTTGCATTTCCAGACTTCCATCCGACATCATTTTTTTCTCTGCTTAAATAACATTAGTGTTCCTCTTTGTATGTTACTTTTATCTCATTCTTTCTGATCTGGAACTTTAGTTATATAAGTCTTTAACCCGTTCTTGAACATTCTTTTTTTTTTTTCTTTTTTTAGAGACAGAGTCTTACTTTGTCCCTCTTGGTAGAGTGCTGTGGTATCACAGCTCACAGCAACCTCCAACTCCTGGGCTTAGGTGGTTCTCCTGTCTCAGCCTCCTGAGCAGCTGGGGCTACAGGTGCCTGCCACAACACCCGGCTGTTTTTTTTGTTGCAGTTTGGCTGGGGCCGGATTTGAACCCACCACTCTTGGTATCTGGGGCCAGTGCCCTACTCACTTAGCACAGGTGCTACCCTTTTTATTTTTATTTTTTGAGATGGTCTCACTATGTTTGTCGCCCTTGGTAGAGTGCTATGGCATCACAGCTGACAACAACCTCAAATTCTTGGGCTTAAGCAATTCTCTTGCCTCAGTCTCTAAAGTAGCTGGGACTACAGGCACCCACCACAACACCTGGCTGTTTTTTTGTTGCAGTTGTCATTGCTGTTTTAGCTGGCCTAGGCGGCGTTCCAACCCTCCAGCCTGGGTGTGTGTGTGGCCCGTACCCTATCCACTAAGCTATGGGTGCCGCCCTTTTTTGAACATTTTTATTTGCTTGTTTCAGCATCTTGATCATCTCTGATTCTGCTTCTGTTTTCTTTTTCTTTATGTGGCTTTGCCTTTCTAGGAGTAAGAGTAACTTTTTATTGTTTGCTCAGCATTGGTGAAAACGAATCATAAGAGACTCCATGCCAGATGAAGTTGGTCCTTGTTACAGTAAACAGTTTTGAATGGCAAATTTCCTACATTTGTTTAGCTTAATGCAGTTTGTTTCCAGGGAAATAGGGCTGGGTGTAATAGGTAAGCTTGAGCTTATCTCATGGAGAAAAGGATTAGACATTTTGTTAATTGTTTCTCCTTTGAGCAAATCACTTAATCTCTGAGTCTTCATTTCTTAATTATAAAATTGGGTTACTAAGTAGTACCTGTCTTCTGTGGATTTAGTTAAATATACATATTTAAACATATTGCCTGGTAAATAGTGAGAGCTCAATTAAAGATTACCTCGTATCTTCATTATCATTAGAGATCCACTTAGTACTGAAAATTGGTTTGCAGGCTACTGAATAGTATTGAGTTACCACTGAAGAGAAAAAGCAAAGATGAAAGTGTTCATTTGGGATGCATCATTAAGCATAACTGGCAGTTTTTCATAGATCTTTTTTGTTATTCTTAAATTTGAGAGGAAAAACTAGAGGGCTGGGCGGTGCCTGTGGCCCAGTGTGTAGGGTGCCAGCCCCATATGCCAAGGGTGGTGGGTTCAAACCTGGCCCCAACAAACTGCAACAATAAAAAAATTAATGGTTGTTTAAAAAAAAAAGGGAAAAAAAAACTAGAGGGCTAATTCTGGTTTCTCAAGGATTTTTTTTTCATGGAACATAGACATTAGTATTTGTTGATTTTAGTGTGAATTTCCAAAATTACAACTCAATTTCAGAGTTGATTTACTACTGCATACTTAATAGTAATGATATTTGGAAGTTTTATATCACATATATGTTTCTTTTTTTTTTTTTTTTTTTGAGACGGAGCCTCAAGCTATTCTTCTGGGTAAAGTGCCATGGCATCACAGCTCATAGCGACCTCCAACTCCTGGGCTCAAGCGAGTTTCCTGCCTCAGCCTCCCAAGTAGCTGGGACTACAGGTGCCCACCACAATGCCTGGCCATTTTTTGGTTGCAGCCATCATTGTTGTTTGGCAGGCCCAGGCTGGGGATTCGAACCCACCACCTTAGGTGTATGTGGCTGGTGCCTTAGCCGCTTGAGCCACAGGCGCTGAGCCCACATATATGTTTCTTTAAAAATATTTTACTGTAGTTAGGAATGGTAGTGATTTTTTAAATAGAAGTAAATATTTTATTTAGTATCTTAATTCTTGTAGGAAACTTTGAGGGAAATTTTGAGTCGCTGGACCTTGCAGAATTTGCTAAAAAGCAACCATGGTGGCGCAAGCTGTTTGGGCAGGAATCTGGGCCTTCCGCTGAAAAGTATAGTGTGGCAACCCAGCTGTTAATTGGAGGTGTTACTGGATGGTAAGTGATATGAAAGATGTCCATTGTCTTTTCTGCCTGATTTAGTATTGCAATTAGAGGTACCATCTTCTTTAACCAATGAAAACATACTGACTTTTGGTGAAATTGGTCACTTAATGTGTAGCAATGTCATGTTAAAGTATATTCAATGGTTACACATAGTACTTACTGCATGCCCCAAATTGCTTTAACTATTTACATAGATAGCTTATTTCCTTCTCACAACTCTAGAATTGGTACTATTATCTATACTCATTTTATAGGAACTGAGGCTCAGAAAAATTAACTTGCCCAAGGCCAAATAACTAGTAAATGGTTGAATGAGTAGCTAGTGACTTAATTACCTATGTCAGATGATAACTTAATGTTACATAGCTTATGGTTTCATTTGTAATAAATTCAAAAAATATTAATAGCAAATTTAGTAAGTGAATATCAAATCTATAAATCTTATAAACTCTTCACATTTGAAAATTTTTATTGCACAGTATAACACAAATATAAAACGGTATGTAACAAATGTATATTATAATAAATACTTATAAAGTGAACCTATGTATTAACCACTCAGGCTAAAAAAAATATGGCAAGCACCCCAGAAACACTAGAGATTGTTAAGTAGTTATTTTGTTAATCAGTTAGTATTGATTTTCCTTGTAGTTGTATTACCAGTTCTATAACTAAATAATATATTGTAACTAAATAATATATTGTAGTTTATCTGGTTTCAAACTTTAAGTAAATGTAGTCATTATTTATTCTTTTGAGTCCTGCTTTGTTTAACTTGACATTTTATATAGTCAACCATGTTGTGCATAGTTGTAGTTTACTCATTTTTATTTGTATTCAGAATTCCATTGTATGACTATACCACAGTATATCCACTTGATGGCTGACATTTGAGTTGTTTATATTTTTGGCTAATATAAACAGTGCAACTATACTCTTTTTTTTTTTTTTTTTTTTTTTTTTTGAGACAGAGCCTCAAACTATTGCCCTGGGTAGGGTACCTTGGCGTCACAGCTCACAGCAACCTCCAACTCCCGGGCTTAAGCAATTCTCTTGTCTCAGCCTCCCAAGTAGCTGGGACTACAGGAGCCCACCACAACACCCGGCTGTTTTTTTGGTTGTTGTTGTTTGGCAAGCCGGGCTGGATTCGAACCTGCCAGCTCTGGTATATGTGGCTGGGGCGTTAACTGGTTGAGCTACAGGTACCGAGCCTATAAATACTCTTAAATTTACCAGTGTGTATGTTCACACATTTATGTAGGGTCTGTACCTAGGAAATTATTAGGATATAGGGTATAAGCATCTTCAACTTCGTTACATAATGTCAAACCAGGCTTGGTGCCCATAGCTCAGTGGTTATGGTGCCAGCCACATACCGGGGCTGGTGGGTTTGAAGCCTCCTGGGCCTGCTAAACAACAGCTGCAACAAAAAAAATAGCCAGGTGTTGTGGTGAGCACCTGTAGTCCTAGCAACTTGGGAGGCTGAGGCAAGAGAATCACCTAAGCCCAAGAGTTGGAGGTCATTGTGACGCCACAGCACACTACCCAGGGCGACATAGACTCTGTCTCAAAAAAATAAATAAATAATGTCAGACCACTTTCCAAAAGTAATTGTAGTAGTTTACACTCACAGCAACAAGGACTGAGTATTCTTGTTGCTCTGCATTCTTGCCAGAAGTTGATATTGCCGGAGTCTTACATTTTTGCCAGTCTGGTAATATGATAGTGGCATTTTATTTTTCATTCACATTTCCCTGAGAAGGGGTGAAAATGAGCAACTCTTTTACTTTTGTTGACCATTTGATCTCCTCTTTGACTAAGCTCCATTCTAATCTTTTTCTATGAAGATGTTATTCTTTGTCTTATTGAGTTGTAAGGGTTCTTCATATATTTTGGGTTTTTGTTTTTGTGAATCAGAGTCTTTCTGTTGTCTGGGCTAGAGTGCAGTGGCCTCCTCATAGGTCACTTGAACCTCAACCTCCTGGGATCAAAAGATCCTCCTGCCTCAACCTCCTGAGTTGAGTGTATAGGTGTGCACCACTACACTCAGTTAATTATTTGTAGAGATGGAGTCTCACTATGTTGTGCAGGCTGGTCTTGAACTCCTGGCTTCAAACGATCCTCCAACCTTGGCAAAGTACTAGAAATACAAGTGTGAGCCACCATATCTGGCCCATGTCTTTATATATTTTGCATATCAGGCCTATGTTGGTTGTATGTATTACAGATACTCATTCTGTTGTTTTCTTTTGCTTTATGCTATCTTTTAATAAACTGAAGCTTTTATTTTAATATAGTCAACTTTGGCTCGGCGCCTATAGCTCAAGGCTCGGCGCCTATAGCTCAACCGGCTAAGGCGCCAGCCACGTACACCTAAGGTGGCAGGTTCGAATCCCCAGCCCA